TATTCCGCTTCTACGGTCACAAGGACCTCCATTTATTCATCCATATCCGAGAAGACTAGAATATCTAACCATTTCTTGATGTTATAGAAAGGTAACAAATTCTTCTCAATTATTTTAAGACCTTGAGTGTTGGTCCGGCCAGGGCTCGAACCCTCGACCTCCCACAAAACATTCCAGCACACTATATCCATTGGGCTAACTGGGCGGCGGTTAAAGATGACTATCATCCACCATGACATAAAAAGAAATTGAGAAAATCAAGAGCCCGTGAGAGTAATAAGCATCTTATTTCTCCCAGCAGTGTCACACTTCAATCAATCATTAAGGTCATGAGAATAAAGGAAATAATCACAAGATCAAGAAGCTCTTCATTATTTAGCAAACTCTCTTTTTCATTACTATAAGAAACAATTACACTGTATAGAACACACGGTGGAAAACTTGCTAACTTATGTTAGGGCATAATTAGGGTTAGGACTCACTTGTACTTCATTTGTTCTGTGAACTTCAGGACAAATAAATTACAAAACTATTTCATTTTAAACTGCCCCTAACTAAATCAAAATTAAAATAAACAAACTCACCAGATTTGTATTGAACCACTGAAAACATTTTCTTTACAATTTCATTGCACTGTAACTTCCAGTTGAATTGCTGCATATAATCATTCCTTAGTTGTTCTGATTCCTCCCTTCGTTCATGCACTGCCTTTTCCCTGACTTTCTTCATTGCATCAGCCCAGGCCTGAGGGTCTTCAGAATCAATTACATGCTGAGTGCCAGAGGGTAATGACTTCAACACCATACCAAGACCACAGTTTCCACTCACAAGAACAGGGAGGTCTGCTGAAATGGCACGCAGACCACTTATTCCAAAACCTTCTGTTCTTGATGGTTTGATAACCAGATCCACTTCACAAAGCAACTTGGGCCAAAAGTCAATAGTACCAGAATCTTTCCTGATGGTCAGTTGATGTACATTGATTCCTGCATCAAAGAAGGCTGGCTTCAACTCATCTTCATTATCCTTTGGCTGTCTAAAAAATATGAGCTGATATGATGAATCTTGTAACAGCTTGATAGCTTAGGCTGCAATATCACATCCTTTGACC